AATAAAACAAAACCCAAAATGTATTTGAACTTTAACCTTTGTTCCCACCCCACATGCACAGGCATACAACAACAACCCTTCCACATGTACACACACACACACACACACAAACATGCATAGACACAAATATACACATAAATAAAATAGGGACAAGAGACACTAGGCTAAGAAAGAACGGACTGGGTGTGGTGGTGCACACATTTCATCCCTGCCCTTCCAGAGGCAGATGCAAAGACAGGTGGATCTCTGGGAGTTTTAGTCTACAAAGTGAATCCCAGGCCAGCTAAGCCTATAGGGAGAGACCCTGTGTAAATGAGAGAGGCAAGGGGGAGGTGTCTCTGGAACCTAAGAGACTTGGTTCCAGATTCAGCTCTGTACCTTCTAGGCTGTGTGTCTCTGTAAAAGCAGATTGTCCACTCTGGGCTCAGCTTCTTTCCACAGTGTCAAAGGCAGCATTATATGGGGCTATTGGCACAGTATGTGTGCGCCTGATGCAAGCCTAACTGGTTAGTATCCTGGTGGGCTCCTCACCACACTTCACTTACTCAACAGTAGGATCCTCTTCCTTCACCCCAGCAGTTGCACCAGGAAATCAGGACTGCCCTTCCAGCTCGCTATCCTCACTTCCCCTCTGCACCTGCTGCTCACACAGCCACTGCGGCTGCAGACCCGGGCCCCTCCCCTCCTGCCAAGACCACAGCCTCTTGCATGCCCATCTGCTCATTCCATCTATCCAGAGACAGCTAGTAATCCTTTCAAACACAATCAGATCAGAGTCTTCCTCGAAAAGCCCTTGTGTGAATCCCCCTGCACATGGATTAAAGCCAGGGCTCCTAGCACTGACCTAGCAGAGCCTGTATAGACAGCCCTAGCAAAAGCCGCCGTGTGGCCTCAGTCTTGGTGATTCTACCCTTGTCGTCCATGTCACCCAGCTACCTGCCTCTGTCTGGAACTAACCACCTGCCTGGCTCCTTGTGCCCTTCTCAAATGGCCTCTGCTGGCACTGTCCTAACACCTTACTGTCCTACCAGCTCACAAGCTACCTTGGTCCCATGTCCTGAAGGTTGCCAGTGCTGAGCAAAGGCAGCTTAGTCCATTTCTACAGAATGAACCAGCACGTTGGCTGTGCCACTGGGCATTGAGGTCACAGTGGTTCTGCTGTCCTCCAGGGCAGCAGCCACAGTAGACAGTCTTTTCTGCATGTGTATCATGTGCCATGTCCAATCCTAAGTTGTTACGTAAGCCAGCGATTTGTAGGACCCAAGGGGCATCTGACAATGTGTGGCAACATGAATTTCACAGCTACAGGAAAAGGGTGCCAGCATCCTCACCTGTCAGTAACATGTGGTTGGAACAAGGACAGGCAGGGCTGGTGCTGGTGGGACGCAGCATGCAGAGGCTATTCCACCTGGGATCCTGCGAGAGCAGTTCTCTGGGTGCTGAGTGGAGATGGTAGACCACTTTGCGTGTGGGGTAGATGCATGAGATAAAGTAGGAACAGACTGGTGGGCTGCAGCTCAGCCAAAGGCACAAGGTGAACATATGGATGGCCTTCCATGTTCAGAACAAGCTCTCTGACAGGAGACTACTCTTGGGCACAGAGTCTCGGTGACTCATGCAATACCACTCAGCCAGGCAGGTGGATGGTTGGACCTGTGTCCAGAGCACATGTGTGCACACTCTAAGGCTTACCCTCTGCCTCAGGACTATGGCTCGGCACTCCGAGGCCTGTGTGAAGATGCCCTGGAGGGCCTGCTGTTCCTGATGCTCTTCTCTCTCCTGTCTGCGGGGGCCCTGGCCACCACCCTTTGCAGCCTGCCCCGTGCCTGGGCCCTCTTCCCGCCCAGGTCAGCAGGGGAGAGAGGGCAGGGTCCCCAGGGAGGGGACAGGAGGCAGCACCCAGGGCCACTGGTGGGGATGGGGCAGCCTCCTGATGGGTTCCCATCCTGCTTCTCTGCCACTCCCCACATCACACTCCAGTGATGACTACGATGACACAGATGATGACGACCCTTTCAACCCTCAGGTACAGACCCTGGTCTGTGGAGAAAGGCTGGGGTGTCAACTCGTGGGTCTGAGGGATGGTTGGCTCTGGGTCTCTGGGTCTGAGGGAGGGACCCCCAGTATGTGACAGATTCTCATTGTATATCTTCTCCCCATTATGGTGCTAGGAATCCAAGCGCTTTGTGCAGTGGCAGTCTTCCATCTGAGCCTCCCCTCCAGCCTGGAGTGGCCTTTCCTGTTAGGTAAGCTTTAATGACACCTTGGTGATCTGCTGGACCTTGACTTATGGCACTCTGAGGCTGGGTGGGTATCCACGGGAGTGTCTCCTGCCTATGTCAGCTCCTCATCTCTCCCTCTCTCTAGCTCCTTTCCTGGCTGCTGGAGAAGGCCCCACTAACCTGACCCTGACTGGGCTCTGACCACTAACACTGCTGGCCATGGACACCTCACATAGGATGACATTCTGCTCTGGCCCCCCAACATTCCCCCATTCCCATTTGTCTTTAGCACAAGGGACTGCTGAGATGGCAGAGCAAGGATCTGGGCTCGCTGGGAAGGGGGCTGACCTACAGCCAGGTGTCCCTCACCTCTGGCTGGCTGCTGGTATTGTTCTTGGAGGGACTAGGGGAGGCAGGAACAAGGATGTCTCTGCTCCTGCCATATTCCAGCAATCTCAACTCATGGCACTAGCTTGGAAGAGGGTTGATTTGAAATAAAAGGGAAGACTATTTTACAAGTAGCTAGGACCTTCTTTTTTTCTCCCCTCCTGGGAGAAGAAGTCCTGACTGAGCTAGAGAGATGACCCCTTCCCTGACAGTTGAAAGACAACTCTCCTCTTGTCTAGGTTCAGCACTGCTCTGGTTGTTCTGACAAAGGAAGAGGCAGCCCCAGGAAGAGAATAAACGTAGCTCTAGATCTAAACATTCATGAATCCACAGGAACAACAAAGTCGAGCTTCCAGACATGTGGAATGTGAAGGCCTAGGGGGTTTAGGAACGGTGTGGCATCAACTCACTTCCAAGCAGTTCAAATCCAGCACAAGATGTAAGAAAACCTAAGTGTGTGCCAGTAAAGGGGAAGAAGTATTCAAAGAGAAAATAGAATATTTGTATGTAGTGCTGCTAAGGTGATGTAGAAGAGGAAACGTGAAGATATAAATCTAGACAAGAAAAGATAAGGCAGTCAATGAGCTAAAAACTACAAACAAACCAACAAATATGGCAGAGGAAAAAGGGAAATTTATTGTACGGGAATAATGCCTATGTAGTTCTCTTTTGTAAAAAGAAAAAATAAGCACATATGACAAATAATTCATAAAAAGACAACTCAGTTTAAAAATAAGAAACTGAGATGAACATACAAAGAAACAAAAATCCAGAGACAAAACTCATAAAGTGGTTAAAATTCTAATGATTTCCAAACACAATGTGCTACTCCCCTGCCCAGTACTTACTTACTGTGACGTTAAATTGGGGTGCTGTCTGGTGCTGTTCTAGAAGCCCAGAGAAGAGGTGCTCAAAATATGCTGCCCAGAGGCTGTGAATCCCCAGTTGTGTGAAAACAAACAAACAAACAAACAAACACCTACTTATCTGTGAAAGAATGGCAACTGTGATCCTTTGAGGAACGGCTTCCAGAAAGAGACAAGCAACTGAAGATGTGTGTGAAGAGCCCTCTGTCCAGGCAACACTTGGCTTAGTTACATGCTGGAGACAAAAAGTCCACAAAAGGAAGAAAAGTGACCTGCTAAGTAGAACTCTCTGGAAGACCAGCAGTTCTCTAAGGGAAGCCAGTAGAGCAGGATCCTCAGGTTGGGTGTGACAAACAGTGGCAGTCGGGTGCACAAGCACCAGGTGACAGACCCTGAAACGCCCCCACACAGCGGTTGGATGCTTCTGGGCCCCAGTCCAGGCACCACACTGCCGAATGTGGGCAAGTCAGTTGACTCGTTGAACCTCAGTTGCATCGTCAAGCAAATGGGTGTCATAAATCCAGAAACCTCAGCTCTGACAGAACAGAGAAAAGCAAAATAAATGCAACACGATGCTCGGGGTTACACACTGGCACACAGAAAACATTAATGAGAAAAGTATCGAAGTCTAAAGTTTGCAGCTTAGTTCAGAGTATTAAAGCAACGTCAGTCAGTTTCTTACTTTTTAACAAATAAACCAAGGTGAATCAGAGGTGATAGCAATAGGGGAAACTGGGCATTCTATGCCCAACTTCTGTATTATCTTTGCAACTTTTCCCCCTGTAAACCCAAATTTATTCTAAAATAAAAGTTCATTATAAAAAAGAGCTGGGAAGAAGCCTACCATGCTAACAGTAACAAAATGTTATAAAGTTATCAAAGTGTTATGTAATTACCAAAAGTCTCTAGTACAAAGTGTGACTAGAAGCTGGGTTATTATTATTTTAACAGGTATCCCTAATTGAACAGCACAATTCAATCATTTCTGGTGTAAACAATGAGCTTTAAGAAAAGTCTACTGGGCCGGGCGGTGGTGGCGCACGCCTTTAATCCTTGGGAGGCAGGAGCAGGCAGATCTCTGTGAGTTCGAGACCAGCTTGGTCTAAAAGAGCTAGTTCCAGAACAGGCTCCAAAGCTACAGAGAAACCCTGTTTCCCAAAACCAAAAGAAAAAGAGAAAAAAAGAAAAAGAACAGGAAAGAAAAGCCTATTGTGGCCAGGCGTGATGGCGCACAACTTTAATCCCATAGGAGGGAGGTGGATCTCCTTGAGTTCCGGGTCAGCCTGATCAGCACTTACACACATTCTAGGTTCTGCAAACCTCTCCCTACACCTTCCTCTGCCCCGGTTACCTTTCCAGCGTCCACAGCCGAAAGGCTACTCCTCAAGCGACGCGTGTTTCCTGCTTTCTTGGGGTCTCACTCACTGTTGCTCACGCCAGGTGTGCCATTCCAGTTTAAACAAGCCTATTGGGGGAAGATTCATCCTCATCACTTATTCACTCCTTAAAAAAAAAAAAAAAAAAAAGTCAGAGCGCTATGCGCAGCCTCAAAACTCCCGTCCCTATAGTTTACATTTTACAGCTAAGGCTGCTGTGTGGGAGAGCCTGCGGCGCTTGTCCCCGTGGGGCCACCGTCCACGCCCAGCTCTCAGCTTGCTGACAACGCCCACACGCAATTGCGTAGGCGGGATAGGTGGAGGATGGTTCAAAGCGAGCGGTGACATCCATTGGCTGTACGCGACACGGGGTGGGTACAGACGTCCTGGTGACGCCATCACGCCGCGGTCAGGACGTTCCAGCCCCAGAAGAGCCTGCCGGTGACCTAGCGCTATCGCGGGTGTCCTGTAGCTGCCGTGGCCCACCGGTAACGAACCCCGGGAGCAAGAGGTCCTGGTGAGTGTGAGAACTGGCGGGCGGACTGGCGGGCGAGCATAGGGACTCCTTCCGGCTCCGCGCTCGGCGAGCCCGGGCCTGCTTGGTCGGGCTAACCGACGCCGCTCCCAGCGTCTGTGAAGGGTGTGGCCGTCCACGCATGCGCCCGGGGTTTGTGTGCGCGCGTTTGGCGACACTGCGCGTGCGCGCGCGCTTCCGCTTTGCCACCGTCCCTGGGAACGCTGCGGACCCTAGTGCCCTAGGCGCTCCCCTCGCGGCCCCTTTGACCCGCTGTTACGCCGGCCGCCGTGTTGCCCTGGGCAACCCAGAGAGACCATCCTCGCGGCTTGGTGCACAGGCACGCCTGGCTGGTGGCTGACCGCGGGGATAAAGGAGGGTCGCTTGGGCTCAGGGTGGCCTCCATCTCCACCTGGTGGCGTGGACCCCATGCCTGCGGGACAGCCAGGTGCAGAGAGTCCATGTTGTCCTCGTCTGTCAGATCCCTGCCCCCTAGGCCTCACTCCTAATACCAGTTAGTACTCCCAGGGTCTCCCACTTGCTTTCCTACTTTCGACCGACCCCTTGACTCCACCCAGTGGTCTGTCTGTTTTTTTTCTTTTTTTGGTTTTTCGAGACAGGGTTTCTCTGTGTAACAGTCCTAGCTGTCCTGGAACTAGCTCTTGTAGACCAGGCTGGCCTCAAACTCACAGGGATTCCCCTGCCTCCACCTCCCGAGTGCTGGGATTAAAGGCGTGTGCACTACCACCGCCCGGCCCTGTCTTTTTTTTTTTTTTTTTTCTTAATGTCTTTGAGGCCTGTCATTGCCCCTAAGGCTTCCTGCAAGCTTTCTGGTTCTTCCATGGGCTTCTTTGCTGTAAATTCTATTGTTTTGGCCTCAAGTCCTGACCCCAAGGCAGTCCTTCATGCTTCTGTCATCCCACCCTTCAACCCTAATGGTTTCTTAAGAAAATTGTGGGCCTCCCACATCACCCCGAAAACTTTATCTGCAGACATCGTACCCAAGGGATTGCCTGTTGTTTCTCCCAGACTAGCTCCTGCTCCCAGGAACATCTCATACAAGTCTCTGTCCTCTGGGGACTCTTCATTGATTCAAGTGCTGACAGCCAGTGACTTCACATAAGGAGAGCCTCCCCCACCTCCACTTTCTGTTGCTCCTCAGTGAGACATCCTGAGATTCCCTTTCTCTTTGAAAACTTTGCTTTGTTCTTCCATGTTACTCTCAGTCTCGGCTCCATGATCCTCTATGTGTCCCCAGAAACTTCCCTCTTGCCAAACGTCTTGGTAGCTAATGCTTTATTCACGGGTAGTTAAGACTTTACTCACTGGATAGTACCTGCCTTCTTTCTGCTTCTTTAGAACCTGTATCACTATTCTAGGAATTCCCATTGGATTCCCTGCCCAGGACTTGGGTATCCACATCCACCACCTCAGCCTGGTTTCCCCTCGCATCCACTCTGATCGTTTCATCATCATCTCTGTCTTTCATTTTTACATCCTGCATTTTAGGGAGTCCAGTGTCTTCCTTTCATGCTCAAGTCTCTTCATTCCACAAGAGGAATTCTCTAATTCTTTTTACTGGTTTTAGAAACAGGATTTCAACATGTAGCCTAGGCAGGCTTTGAACTCCCAAAAGAGTGTCGGGATTGCAGTCATGAGCCACCATGCTTGGATTCTTTTCCATTCTTTACCAGTGCTCCTTTCTATGAGATACTCTGTCTTTCCTATCTATCCTTTTATGGATCCAACATTTTTAATTCCTCCTTAGGTCTAACTTATCTTTTTTCTTATAGACAGTGAAAAAGCAGTCTGGCTCCCGAGGTCAACTCCCTACACCCCAAGGTCCAGATGGCGGCCAACGTGGGTGATCAGCGCAGCACAGATTGGTTAGTAGGACTAGGGGAACACAGCCTATTGTGCTGGGAAAGAGGAACAAAATACAATGGGACTTCTTTGCACAGCCTGGAAGAAGAAATCCACATTCTGGGGCTAGGGTGGAGGGGCAAGCTTCCCGACTGAGCTTTTTGTGTGTGCATGCCAGTGTGTATGTGTGTGAGTGAGTGTATAATTCACACTCATGTAGCTCAGAAGAGGCATGAGATCCCTTGGAGCTAGAGTTACAGGTGTCTGTGAGCCACTTGACATAGGTGCTGGGAACTGAACTCGCAACATCTGCAAGATCAGCAAATGCTCTTATATACGGGCCATCTCTCCAGCACCCTCTTACTGTCTTTCTGATAATTCCTTTTTTGTTTTGTTTTTTTTCCCCCCATAGTTGGCCATATCAGAATTCATTGACTTGTAAAAGATTGAGTCCTTCTAAGGTCACGTAAAGTTTTGTGTATACTGGCCAACCTTCTGTTTGCTTGGCACTTGCTGTGTGCCAGCTTCAGCTATGGCTCTGGTAGGTAGGGATCTTAGCTCTGGAACTTTGGCCTTGTCTACCTGTGTACAGTAGAACATAACTCTGTCTCACCTTTGCAGGTCTTCTCAGTATGGCATGGTGGCTGGAGCCAGCAGAGAGAATGGCATGGAGACTCCTATGCACGAGAACCCAGAGTGGGAGAAGGCCCGCCAGGCCCTGGCCAGCATTAGCAAAGCAGGGGCTGCCAGTAGCTCCAAAGCTAGTAGCAGTGGGCCGGTGTCCAGTGCACAAGTGAGAAGGGCACACAGGACTTGGAACTGCTGTGCTGGGTGGGGCTGTTGCTGAGAGAAGGATGGGGAGGATGCTGACTTTCAGAGAATGGCATGCCTTAGCAGACTGTAAATATGTTTTCCTGTTAACTAAACCAACAACTTTGAGAGTCAGCCAGGGTCTGAGTGATCCTAAGGAGGAAGACTTGCCCCATCTTCCAGAAGCCTACTTTTACTGTAGAGGCATGGACTCCATTTCTTTTCTGTAGTTACTCCGCACTAAAGGCCTGTCCTCTTGGGACTGTAGTGCCCGTAGACTCCTGTGGCTGTACTGACAGATGCGTACATGCTTTTGTCTCCACAGTATGTCTCTCAGGCAGAAGCCTCAGCTTTGCAGCAGCAGCAGCAACAGTACTACCAGTGGTACCAGCAGTACAATTATGCCTATCCTTACAGCTACTACTACCCCATGGTGAGTACCTGACTACAGGGTGAGAGCTTTCTGTCCGTGTGGGGCCTGGCTAGTGGGGGTGAAGACGGACATAGCAGTGTGCAGAAACACCTACCAGTATCCCCTAATGTAAATCCCAGCTTCCTGTTCCGGTCTCACAAGATCTGACTTGTCCATGGTCCATCCCACTGCCTCCTTACCCTAGGACATTAGGATATCCTAGTCCCCTGTGCTTGGCTCTGCTGCAGCTTTCCATTTTACTGTGCTCACTTCAAGATTCCTTGCTGCCTAGAGAGCATCTTCAGAGAGCCTCCCACTCCCAAACTGTTCAAGTCATATTCCTGCTTCTCTTCTTTGCCTTGTTTTCTTTCATGCTAATTACTGTGGGACGTTACCCACTTACACCTATAGCTGTATAGCTATGTGTGGACGTTGTTAAACCCGGGATTTGTTTGAGTCAGAATTCTCTATATAGCCCAGGTTGACTTCAACCACCCCTCCTGCCTCAGCCTCCTGAATATACATCACCACAACAAGCTTGCCTTTTTTATTTTAAATTTTAATTTTTTAAAGACAAGGTCTTACTGTGTAGGCCTGGTTGGCCTGGAACTAGCTATGTAGATTAGGCTTGCCTCACACTCCACAGAAATCCACCTGTCTCCATCCTGGCTCATAAGTCCTATGATTAAAGGGGTGAGCCTATCCCCCCTGACTCCTGCCTGTCTCTTTATCATAGCATTAGAAATGCTGACACTCACTGCTTCTTTTCACTTGATAGCAAGACCTATTGGGTGCTGGCATGAGTGGAATGAAGAGGTTTTTGGTTTTGATTTTTTTGAAAATACATGATTTGGTTTATTTGTATGGTAGAAAGAACAAGGGCCTGGCGTCTACAGCCTCTTGAGTTGAACATGGTTCCAAGGGAGGCCGAAGGCCTGAGCAGCCTTCACTAACTCCGGCTCCTCCTGTGCCTTGGCAGAGCATGTACCAGAGCTACGGCTCCCCCTCCCAGTATGGGATGGCCAGCTCCTACGGCTCAGCTACAGCCCAGCAGCCATCGGCTCCCCAGCACCAAGGGACTCTGAACCAGGTAATGCTTTGCCTAGCTGCTCCTGGTCAGCTGGGAGCAAGAGCCTGGCTTTTGAGGGGACTTGCAACCAAGAATGGTCTGCACTATTTCAAAGCTGCTCCCTCCCCTCTCGCTTGTTCTTTCTTGTCAAGCACCTCCTGATGTAAAAGCTTAGCTTTTAAAACTAGGATGGGCTTGAGGCTGGGCAAGGTCCAGGGGCTGTAATGTTGGGGAGATGGCGGGAGCAGTTTGTAGTTTGGCAGTCTGCCGTCTCTCTTTTTCTCCCGTATGTGTACTCACAACTGCGTTCTAGAGCTAGTGTGCCCCCTGCACACACAGCAAGTGGTGTACACACACCCACAGCCATACCTACCCAACATGCTGCCTTTGCAACTGGTGCAACCTAGAGAAGTGGAGGACCCTAGGGCATAGGAAGTACATTGACCTGGCTTTGAGTCCTTGCTTTGCTTCACTGTTCTCTACACATTAGTGGCTCCTCAGAGTTGAGAGGATGCAGCCTTTCATAGGGCTTGAGTAAGTGTGTTGTCACGTGTTGATGTGCTCAAGAGAACCCTAGTGGATGTGTTGTCAATGGCTCTTAGTAGAGTCAGGCCCCAGTGTTGGCACTGGTGGTAGCTGAGCCTATGGAAAGTTGCTCAGTCTCTTGAGTCTGAGACCTCTCTGTTGTGGGAAGGATAGCTAGTAAAAATAGACACCCCAGGAAGCCACCGATCATACGGCGTGGCAACCCCCAGAAGATTGTAGCACTTACTGAGTACTTACTGAGTGACTTTAAGAACTGAGTACCATGTGATCTGGCATCAGGATGCTGCCTGCTGCCTTCAGCCTCTGCTTCTTCCCACAGCCTCCAGTCCCTGGCATGGATGAGAGTATGGCCTACCAGGCTTCCCCTCAGCAGCTACCTGCAGCCCAGCCCCCTCAGCCCTCAAACCCTCAGCATGGGACACATGGTCTAAGCAATGGCCCTCAGCCTGGAACAGCCCCAGCCACTCAGCACAGTCAGACAGGGGCACCTACAGGGCAGACCTATGGGCCACACAGCTACAGTGAGCCTGCCAAGCCCAAGAAGGGTCAGCAGCTGTGGACCCGCATGAAACGTGAGTTAGACTTGTGGGGGTCAGAAAGTTGGAGCTTATTTGTGAGCCACCCAAAGTGGCTGGACCTTTGTCAGGGTGTTGTGATCGACTCTAGTCTAGGGAAAGACTGTTCTGGAACAGATTTGCTCATGCTAGAGACCTGCTCCAGCGCTGGCCAGTTTGAATGTCTGGGAAGGACCTAACTCCGATCTCCGCTGTCCTCCCACAGCAGCCCCTGGGACTGGAGGTCTCAAGTTCAACATCCAGAAGCGGCCCTTTGCTGTCACCAACCAGAACTTCAGCTCCAATACAGAGGGGCAACACAGTAGCTTCGGTTCCCAGCCCAGCTCTGAGAAAGCCCAGAACCATAGGTGAGTCACATCCCCATCCCTACCTACCCATGCTCTGTGTTCAGCAGTGTCTGTTCTCCAAGGTCTTCCGAGTGCCTCATGTGGTGAAGGGAACCCTGGGAGTATGTGGTGTAGGACTGCCATCTAAGATCACAGTAAAATTTCTGCTGAGATGTGGGGTCCTCCCACCTGAGTGCCCTCATCTGTCTTATTCCCACAGTGGGCCGTCTGGCCGGGGAAACCTGTCTGGGAAGCCGGACGATTGGCCGCAGGATATGAAGGAATATGTTGAGCGGTGCTTCACTGCCTGTGAATCAGAAGAGGACAAGGACCGGACAGAGAAGCTGCTCAAGGAGGTGCTACAGGCCCGGCTCCAGGATGGCTCTGCCTACACCATCGACTGGAGCCGAGAGCCTCTGCCTGGGTCAGTCTGGGTGACACAATGAGGGAGTGGGGATGCTGGGTCCTGGCCTGGGGACTTGGGCCTCAAAACCTGGCAGCTTCAGAGAGAAATAAGCCAGAAAGCTGACAGCTCTATCTCAGGACCCTGTGGGGAGGGTAGAAAGCCCAGGAGTGATCGAGGATAGGGTTTTGGGGAGTGGGCAGGACTGGCTGGGAAGGTATGGGTAGCTTTATGGCTAAGAGCATCCCCTGGACACAGTCTGGGGCTTGGTCCCTTTCCCGCACCACAATGGCTGAGTTGCCAGGGTAAGTGCCTCTCTGTTCTGAGGTTTTGTGGTCCTGGGCCACAGGGTGGGGTCTGCAGTCCTGCAGGTTGGTGGCTGGTTGGTAATGCCCTGCCCTACTATATCCTCAGGCTGACCAGGGAGCCTGTGACTGAGAGCCCCAAGAAGAAACGGTGGGAGGCCCCTAGCAGCCTTCATCCTCCCAGGGGGGCAGGCTCGGTGACCAGGGGCGGGGGTGCCCAATCCCAGCGAGGGACACCTGGGTCTGGGGGTGCTGGCCGAGCCCGGGGTAGCAGCTTCGCCAAGTTCGGCAACCGCAACGTCTTCATGAAGGACAACAGCTCTTCCTCCAGCACAGATTCGCGTTCACGCTCTTCATCCAGGTCCCCTACTCGTCACTTCCGGAGAAGGTGTGCAAGCTTGTACTGGAGGGCAGCCGGGAGGGGACTGATGCTTCCTAACCCTTGTGCTTCAGGCCTGACTTTTCTGTTTCCCTATTTAGTGACTCCCACTCAGACTCTGACAGCTCTTACTCAGGGAATGAGTGTCACCCTGTAGGCCGCAGGAACCCACCCCCCAAGGGTCGGGGTGGTCGCGGGGCCCACATGGATCGGGGCCGAGGCAGGGCGCAGCGAGGAAAGAGGTGAGCTTTGGGTGGGATTTCTTTCCTAGGCATAGGTGGAGTTGATTGGGTCTCACAGGTGGGGTAGATGGCCTTCAGAGTGACTGAAGACATTGGCCTTCTTTACGCTTTGTCCCCAGGCATGACCTAGCTCCAACCAAACGCAGCCGCAAGAAGATGGCAGCAATCGAGTGTGAGGACCCAGAGCGTGAGCTTAAGAAGCAAAAGAGGGCAGCCCGCTTTCAGCATGGGCACTCACGCCGCCTGCGCCTTGAACCTTTGGTGCTGCAGATGAGTAACCTGGAAAGCAGTGGAGCTGACCCTGACTGGCAGGAGCTACAGATTGTGGGCACCTGTCCTGACATCACAAAGCATTATCTACGGCTGACCTGCGCCCCAGACCCATCAACTGTGCGACCTGTGGCTGTGAGTCCCAGGCAGTGGGTCCACCACCAGGATGTGTTAGCATTAGGCCCGGGAGGCAGGGAGGTGGCAGCTCTGGCTCTGAGAAGACCCTAGCGTGCAGGTTCTTCACACTTGGGGCATAGTCTGGCCACAGTCAGCCTTAATACAAGCAAAGTCAAGGCAGACTTTCTTTTTTTTTTTTTTTTGAGGGGTGCAATGAACTTTATTGATGGTATTCAAGAGTAGGGCTCCCTAAGCCCCCTCCTGCTTTTCTGGGGGTCTGGGATGGAAACTGTGAGGGAGATGCTCAGTGTTAAGGGTTAGTTAGGCCAGGGACTGCTCAGCAGCCGAGGACCTCTCTCTTGCTGTGTCCTTGCTGGGACAGGTGGTCCAGGGCGGGCTTCTTACTCCTTGGAGGCCATGTAGGCCATGAGGTCCACCACTCTGTTGCTGTAGCCGAATTCATTGTCGTACCAGGAAATGAGCTTTACAAAGTTGTCATTGAGAGCAATGCCAGCCCCAGCATCGAAGGTGGAAGAGCGGGAGTCACTGTTAAAGTCACAGGAGACGACCTGGTCCTCAGTGTAGCCCAGGATGCCCTTTAGTGGGCCCTCGGATGCCTGCTTCATCACCTTCTTGATGTCATCATACTTGGCTGCTTTCTCCAGGCGGCATGTCAGATCCACGACGGACATATTGGGGCTAGGAACGCGGAAGGCCATGCCCGTGAGCTTCCCATTCTGCTCTAGGATGACTTTGCCCACAGCCTTGGCAGCGCCAGTGGACGCAGGGATGATGTTCTGGGCAGCACCACGGCCATCTCGCCACAGCTTCCCAGAGGGGCCATCCACAGTCTTCTGGGTGGCCATGATGGCATGGACTGTTGTCATGAGTCCTTCCACGATGCCAAAGTTGTCATGGATGACCTTGGCCAAGGGGGCTAAGCAGTTGCTGGTGCAGGAAGCGTTGCTGACAATCTTGAGGGAATTGTCATACTTGTCATGGTTCACACCCATCACAAACATGGGGGCATCGGCAGAAGGGGCGGAGATGATGACCCTCTTGGCCCCACCCTTCAAGTGGGCCCCAGCCTTCTCCATGGTGGTGAAGACACCGGTAGACTCCACAACATACTCGGCGCCGGCATCCCCCCATTTGATGTTGGCGGGATCTCGCTCCTGGAAGATGGTGATGGCCTTCCCGTTGATGACAAGCTTCCCATTCTCAGCCTTAACTGTGCCTTTGAACTTGCCATGGGTGGAGTCATACTGGAACATGTAGACCATGTAGTTGAGGTCGATGAAAAAGTCATTGATGGCAACAACGTCCACTTTGCCAGAAGTGAAGGCAGCCCTGGTAACCAGGCGTCCAATACGGCCAAATCCGTTCACTCCGACCTTCACCATCGTGTCTCTGGAACGAGGCTGGCACTGCACGAAAAGAAGCGGCTGTCTCTAGAACAGGGAGGAGCAGAGAGCCAAAGCAGACTTTCATATGGGACCCTGGAGCCAGGTGGCCTTTCAAAGGCTGCTCTTACTCTGCTTCAGGATGGCACAGCGCTATGTGTCAACAGGAAGTTGTGGGGCACTGAGTCTTGCTGTGTGTTGTTGACTCCTAGCCGTGGTGAATCACTGATAGAGGCTGTGCTGCAGCTCTCACTGAGCAGTGACACAGTGGCTTTGGCCTGTCAGCTGTCTGTACGCTCAGCCTTGATTCTATTCCCTGCAGGTTTTGAAGAAGTCTCTGTGCATGGTCAAGTCCCACTGGAAGGAGAAGCAGGACTACGCCTTTGCCTGTGAGCAGATGAAGTCCATTCGGCAGGACCTCACGGTAAGTCAGTTGCTGCGAGGCTCTGGTGTCAGCCATCTTGCCCTGCTCTGCTCAGCCTGACTCTCTGCTCGTTCCCACTGCCCAGGTACAAGGCATCCGCACTGAGTTCACTGTGGAGGTGTATGAGACACATGCCCGCATCGCCTTGGAGAAGGTAGGGAGCTAGGCAACTGCCATGGGGCACCTACCCTTTTGAAGCCACCTGTACTTGCCTGTTCCTTACATCCCTTCCTCCACGCTCAGGGTGACCATGAAGAATTCAACCAGTGCCAGACGCAACTCAAGTCTCTGTATGCGGAAAACTTGGCAGGCAATGTGGGTGAATTTACTGCATACCGAATCCTCTACTACATCTTCACCAAGAACTCTGGGGGTAAGAGGCCATCCTAAGATGAAGGGTGCCATGCCCAAGGTGGCACCCTGTCACCTGACCTCCAGTTATCTTTTGTGCAGACATCACTACAGAGCTGGCATACCTCACAAGGGAGCTGAAAGCAGACCCCTGTGTGTCCCACGCATTGGCACTGAGGGCAGCGTGGGCCCTAGGCAACTACCACCGCTTCTTCCGGCTCTATTGCCATGCACCTTGTATGTCTGGCTACCTTGTGGACAAGTTTGCAGACCGGGAGCGCAAGGCTGCCCTCAAGGCCATGATCAAAACGTATGTGGCACTGCACTCTGCTGCCTTTTGTGCTGTGGCTCTGCCACTCTCCTTCACATCCTGGTCAACCTTCAGCTTCTCTGCTGGAGTCCCCTCCCACTCTCCTGTTCACACCGCTGGCCCTCATTGCTTTCCTCCTCAGCCACCCTCAGTTCCAGGTTTTCTCCCACTGTTCTTCCCTCACTACTCCTGGTGTCATGTCCTCTCCTTCCCTGCACTCCTCTCTTCACGTCAGCTTGAAACCTGGGTTATCTTCCCCTTTTCCAGGCCTTTGCCTGCAGCTACTTGCTGTTCTTCTTCCTGACATAGTTATTAGAAAGGGTGGCCTGGCTCATACTGTTAGCAGTTTCTTGAAATGTCTTTCTGGGACAGTGTGATTGGGGCCTATGGCACAGGGGGTGGTGTGACAAGGCCCTCTGGTCATCAAACTGCATGAGGCTTGCCCATGTGGGGAAGAGATGATCACCATGCTGCGGCCATCTAGTGGGTGGAGACCAGGAATACTGTGCAACAAAAGGCCCCATAGCAGTGTGTGCCAGTCTTGATAAGGTTGAGAAACCCTAGTAAATATATCTGTCAAGAGTCTCAAGGGGTCTTGAATGCCGGGCTAAGCAGCAGCATTTTCTCATTTGGTCCTGTTATGGTGGGACCTGCCGAGGAATTTAGGATTTTGTTTTAGTCAGTCCAACCCAAGGGAGTGAGATGAGTGGGCACCGAGCTCTCAACTTTTTATGCTCCAATGAGCAGCCCTCAAGCCTCAGTGGTGCAAGTGATTCTTACTCTGTTCTTAGTCAACCTTGGCTACATAGCACAAATGGTCCTTGTGAGAACTCAGGGCCCTGGCTGGTGTTGACCTCATTCTCACAGCACCTTTCCTATGAACTTTGCAGACAAGTCCCTGTCATGGCCTAGAAGGTCACCTAGAAGGTCACCTGAAAGACAGGGAGGCTGCCCTGTCCCAGAGCCATAGAATACCTGAGTTCTAGATACTTGAAACCAAGTAGCTAAAGGGCTGCGATGGTCTGCAGGAAAAGGTCCCCAAAACTAGTAGGACATGTACAAAATTAGGGCATCTTGGTACCAACCAGAAAGCACTGCTGAGTGTGACTCTGTGCAAACATCTTCGAGGGTGGAGTATCACTGTCCCTACCCTCCAAGCCTTTGTACCACTTACTCTGTCTGGCTCCAGCCCCTCAGCCAGCAGAGGAGCCATCTGGGCCCTTTCCCTCCTGCCCCCTCCTTCCTGGACAGGTAAGTGTGGGCAAGGGGGGGCAACTGGGCACTGGGGCTACCAACCCCATCCCTGGCCCCCCCAAGCCGCTAACATGGGGAGGTTGGGAGGGGCTGCAGAAGCCAGCAGGTTCCTTGCAGAGGAAAATTCTGGGAGCCCAGATGGGGAGCATTGCTCCCTGCTCTTGGGCCCTCCCTTGTCTGCTTGCCTCATCATTTTCTCCTCTTGTCTCCATAGCTTCCGCCCTGCGCTGCCAGTCTCCTACCTGCAGGCCGAGCTGGCCTTCGAGGGCGAGGCCGCCTGCCGGGCCTTCCTAGAGCCCTTGGGCCTGTCCTACACGGGCCCGGACAACTCCAGCGTGGACTGCCGCCTCAGCCTGGCGCAGCTGCCAGCCTTCTGAGCACTCATCGAGCACGGGCGGGGTTAGGGCTGTGGCCCAGTACCGCCTTTGCGGATTTTGTTTTTGAGCCATGGACATGGGTTGTAAATTAATTTGTGGGGAGAAGGCTCCAGGAAGAGCCAGCATCCCTACCCCCGTTTTCCCACCGGGGATCTGTACAGAGATTTTTCTACGTTTTTATTTTTTGTCTCACAGGGGATAATTGGGAGTATAGTGGAGGAGGGCGGGGTGGGGGCTACAGGTTCTGTGTCCACCTCTCACCTCCACTAATGCTGTCTCAGTGTTTTTTCTCTCTCTCTTTCGAGCTCGTACTCCAGCACCTGACCCTGCGTGCTGGCCCATCCCATGTTGGGGGGTCAGCAGAAAGAAGACAGGCCGTCCAGCCCGCACCCGCCTGCAGCGGGGCACCAGCCAGCCACACCTAATTGCCTCGTCTGCCTCTTCATAGACTCTTGTTGCCCAGCTATTGGGGCCTCAGTGTTTGGGGTGAGGGGAGCTGCTTAAAGACTATGCCCCACCTTCAACCCCTCACCCCAGAAATGCCAGCCAGCACCACCAACACAGCCAGACCAGCGCCACACCGCACTGAGGACTCCAGGGCCTTCGCGGGACCATGCCAGCCGGGCTGCCTCGTCTTACTCAAGTTGTATTAAGTTGTCTCCGTGTCCCTTCCTCCCTCTGCCCCAATGTTTCTTCTGATTTTTTTTTCCCTTCCCTCCCTCCTCTTCCTTCTCCCTCCTTGCTCCCTGGTTCAACACAGGTAAAATGGTTACCCTCCCTTCCTTCCTCCCCTCTGCCTTCATGGATCACCAGCTCACGTCATGTTTCCTTCTCTTTCCTCTGTGTGTGTGTTTAAGTTATTTTTCTTCTTTCTCCCCTTTTCTTTTCACCCCTCCCTCCTCTTCTGCCATGTAACTGGAGGATGTGCTATGAGGTTGCAAACAGCTGGACTGTCAGGCTGCTTTTTTTCCAGATGCCTCCCTTCCTCCCCTTCCCACCTCTCCCCTCCCCTCCCTTCATTCTCCTTGAGCATTGAGTACAGTACATTTTGGAAGCTTGAAACCAAAAATTAAAGAGAAAGAGAGAGAGAAATTGTTTCTATTTGACTTGTTTCTTCTACGAAGTTTGGAACGTTGGTCACTTGAGGGAAATCTCAGCCAGGGACACGTAGCTATGTCCTGCTCTGCCCATACGGCATAGCCAGAGTTTCCCTAGGGGCTGTCTTCCTAGCTCCTGGTTCAAACTGAACTCAGGCTCAGGAATGCAAACCTGGGATCCCTGTGGCACCTTGGCCAGGGTGAGGTGTGGCTGTAGGCCCCCTGGGGGCTGCACCACTCTCAGCCCTTCAGCCTCCAGCCTCTGATTCAGAGTTTGGACCATGCCTGCCAGTGTGGGGGAGGGTATGGCACAGAGCACGTGATGACCCAGAAGAGTCAAGTCCTTGAACTGTAGCTGGGAGGGTACCTGAAGCCCTGGTTTGAGGAGGGCCCTCCGTAGAGCCCCAGTAGCTGCAGCCTCTTTCCCAGGGCCTGTCAGCCTCAGCAAGGCCACTGTGAGGTGCAGGGCCTGTACAGGTACCAGGAAAGCAGCACAAGGAGGAGCAATCCGCACCAAATGCTCTTGGGCCTTGACCACTTCCGCCCTAAGCCCAGGCTCTGTCGCCATCAGTGCCACAAAATGTGTGGGCCGGGGCTGGCGAGGGAACCTTCTTTCATCAGGCCAAGTCCCTGGAGTCCACTCACTTCCCATCTCTTCAGCAGAAAGCTTTGGAGCTTCCATGGCCTGTGTCTCCCACTGTGGAAGTAGAGTGGCTCCAGGTGTCTCTAGTGGGTTCAAGATCTCCTTTACTCCTGTGAAGCACCCGCTTTCCTCTGGTGTTCCTGCCTCTGTGGTCCTATTCAGGACAGTCTCTCTGGTTGCTCCACCCTCTTTGGGTATCTCCAGCCCCGAATCAAGCCCAGTTTTATTTTCCTTAGTTGCCCCACCGTCTTCGGGTGTCTCCAGGCCCGAATCAAGCCTAGTTCTTGCCGGGTTTCCACTCCCTTCCTTAGGGCCATCCTGAGTGTCCTGACCCTCGGAAGCCGCACCTGTCTTCTCTGTGTCAGGGATTTCTGGTGCAACCTCTGGCCAGTACTCGTTCCCGTCGTCCAGTGCGTCTAGGATGGTGGGTCCCCGTCCAGCCACAGAGCCCGAGCCAAAAATGAGGTCAGTACGCGAGGCACGGTCCCACACCAGGCGGCCGCGGAAGCGGAAGTAGCGGATGCGGTGCTGTGGCACCGCCAATACGCCGGGCCCGAGCGCTGCCAGCGGCTCGTCCCAGCAGAAGGCGCAGAAGGGCTCTTCTTGCACGCCCAGGAAGCGGTCAGTGTAGCCCACCGAAAATTCGGCAGGGTCCAGGCGCGGATCCCAGCGGATGCGCTGGATGACGTCAGCCGCAGTGCGCAGCGCCGGCTTTTTGGACCCAGACTCCGGCTGCACGACCTCAGGGGTTGGCGCTGGGGCCCCGGGGTGTGGCTGACGGCAGCGTGCGCCGAAGCGACAGCGGCCCTCTAGGAAGAAGCGGCAGACCGAGGGGGCCTCAGAGGAATCGGCCCCTGCCTCCATGGTACCGCAGTACACTGGGCAGCCTCAGTCCACAACGTTGAGCCCCAACTGTGACACCTGGAGTCTAGTCCGCTTCACCCGGAGGGAGGCCAAGAGACTAGGCGGGACCTCGGAGTGTCCCACCGGCTCTGGTGCTCCCGGCCCCGCCCAGCTTATTTACGTGTAGCTGGCTTCTGAGCCTCTGGGAACCTGGTCTTGCCCCGCCCAAAATGATCTTCGTGAGTCCAGCTCCTCAGAGGCCTTAGCGAGTCTAGTCCCGCCCAACCAGCCAATTAGTGTGTTGAGATCCTCTCAAGAACTCAAGGGAGTCAAGTTCCATCCCATCCAACTATTTTATATGTGCTCCTCCCTTTCTGGGCTTTGGCGAGAGACAGTTCCCAACCCAGGCAAACACTTTACGTGTTCTCGGCCGCTTTCAGGGCATCAAAGGAGCAAGGCTTCCTCTCTCCAGCCAGCTGATTTACATATATTTCCGCCCCGTGCGGTGGGGTGGGGCTTAGAGATCCGGGCCTGCTGCAACCAAATACTTTGCTTGTGCCCTGTCCTTCTCAGGACACCACTCCGCAGCATGCGATTTACCTGTACACAGCCCTTTGTGTGTGTCAGGGGCGCGCGGGGGGGGGGGGGCGGGGGTCAATACCCTGGCTCCGCCCCCGACCTCCTTAAAGTGTGTAGTCCCTATACCAGTGGTTGACTTACATACCATACCTCACTATGAGCAAAGTGACTCCTGGTCCTGCCCCATGCAAAGTTACTTATGATTGTCCCGTCCTGTTTTTCCTGGGAGCGTGGCCTCAACCCACTTGGTCTCAACCCACAATGCCCCTCCTCTCGTTGGCCTTACCTTGGCCTCCCCAAGTTTCAGTGGTTTTACCTGATCCTGGTTGTGGGGTACGAGTCTTGCTCCTGTCCCCAGTCTAGGGGTTGGCACATATGACCCACCCCTCTGCAAACTTCAAACGACCTTATTCTGAGTCCGGAAGTTGGTATCGTCCCTTCAGGGACCTAAGATAGCCACTCTCCAAGCCGAGTGATAAATACTAGAGGTCCCCTCTTTCCGGGAACCTTTGAGAATCTGGTTCCACCCTCAGTCCATGATATAGGCCTAGAGAGCCCCGCACCTCTAGGGTGTTAAAACATCTGGACATCTGTGGGCTCAGGGTTAACTTTGTGCCCAGATTTGTGACGCAACAGCTACCGCGCATGGCGACACTTAGTTGGCGGGAGCAGAAGCTCTACCTACCGGGACCATGCCTCTCATGGCTCCAACGAGTACCCAACCGCTCCTCTTTGCAGTTGCTCTCAGAAAAGCGAATGGCACCGCCTGGTCAAAGTGCACCTGGGGGATGTGTAGAGCCAGGCGTCTATGACTCTTCAAATCAAATGTTACCGTAGGTGGTGCTAAGCGAACCACCGTGTCTGGACTTTATCCAGGTAGCAATGAGGCTGGGTCAATATTTGAAGAATGAATAAGACTGTGGGAGCGGCCAGGTGCGAGACTCCACCTTTGGGAGTGGTTTATTACATGGATAAACCGGACTTGGCTTTTAGTTGGTGGCAATCGACCACTGTCCTGCCTCTGCACCCCTTCCCATAAAAAGTGAACAGACACAGCACTGGCACAAACCTCAGCCATTTATGTGTACAAAAGTGGGTTATTGGGCGGGACTGAGGGGTGCAGGAATCAGGACACTACAGGCCTATGACGTCGTCCAGTGGGAGGTCAGCATTGGGGCGGCAGCGGGCCTTCTGGTGCTGCGTTCCAGGGTGGGTGTCCCCGACAGGCTTGGTGGCTGTTGCTTCAGCACGCTCCGCGTCCATGACGCCTAGCACCGCGTCTAGCATAGAGGGGCCCAGGTCCAGGTGAAAGGACAACAGCGGGTCCGCAGGTGAAGGCACTCGGAGACCAGGTGCAGGGGGCTGTGGAACTGTAGGTGGAGGGACAGAATGCGGGGCCCCGACTGGTGGCGTGTGGGGCTCGGGGGGTGGGCCGCCCCCGTGGCGACTGAGGAACGAGGTGTCCCCGAAGGCATCGCCACCGCGCCCCACATGCAATGTGTGCCTGAAGTCTCCAAGGGGCGCTGAGATAGACAGTGCTCCACGCTCCAGTCGCTTCTTGGGCTGCGCTGGGCCCAGCTGCTTCAGCACCGGCATCTGTGGGGGCACAGGCATATCAGAGCTGCCTCACCCTGGAGCCCCAACTCTATGTTCCAGACCTGCCTAGTCAGCCTCAAAAATGCTCGGATAAGGCAGGACGTTGGTGGGACTATTCTCAGTTAACAAGTAAGGAAACTGAGGCTGTGAAAGCCCAAGGTCACTACTGTTGGACTCAAATTTTAAGTTTTTCTGACTCTAACATGTCCATGTTCATATTATACTATGTGGGTCACCCCAGTAACTAATATTTGAGCCTTCTTGGAGGGTAAGTACCAAATAATTACTTTTGGAGTGCTTCCCAACCAGACTGTAAAAATCTCCAGTAAGCATTAGCTGTAGATGAAGTATAGATGAAGATTACCAGTGCCCAATCCTTGAAGACGGGGCAGACTCTATCCAGTGAGTACCCTGGGCACAGGTTTAGGATCAACCACACACGCTCAAGTGCCCTTCCCTCCACACACACTGAAGAAGTGGACCAGGAAGGCACTACAGAGCAAGTGCAAAATTCACTGTACAGACGACATGAACATTCTCATTTGGGAGGCTTTGGGTGGTTCAGGGGAGCTTTATATTTATGCAGAATTTTAAAATTAAAATATGCTTTGGGGAGCATCTAGGGCATAACATCACCTAAGGCATAACATCTCATTTTTTAAAAAGCAAATAATAAAGCAAATGCCTCATGTGTTAAAACTTGGTAACAATGAGGGCCCTGAGAGAATAGTGCTTGCTGCTCTTCCAGGGGAGGCAAGTTCCAGGACCCAAGTTCCACATCTTACAACTTCCAAATTGTAATTTTACAACTTCCAAATTTCTTCCATACATATGCAGCAAAATGTCTGATGCCCTCTGTTGGCCTCTGAAGGCACTGCACCCACGTGGTGGGTCATAACCATCCATTGTCATCAGTTCCAGAAGATACCCTCTTCTGACCTCCATGGGCACCAAGCATGCATGTAGTGTACACACACATATACAGGCAAACACTCATAGGTAAAATAAATGAATAAATCGAATAAGCAAATATCGGCAAGAATGACATATGCTTGCAGCTGCCAGCTTGTGAATTGTATACCAGATACGCAGTTGCTAGGTTACTGCACCTGACTGAGTGGTAAAGAGAAACCCAGCAAATCTTGGCCCATATCCTGGAGCTTAGTCTTTTTCCATGGAAACTGTGACAGGAACTTGACAACTTTGTACTTTTAACACTTACTATTATGATGAAATCCCTTGTTTCTATTTCCATCAAAACCCCACCCTTTTCCAGTTAAGTGAATCTCCACAAATTAATCCTTCGTTTTCCTGTCTATACCTCAGA